AACAATATAAATATACAACAATTAATTTCTTCTTAAATTAGGTGCAGTAGAAGTTTAATTTGGTGCCAAGGTAGAAGTTGAAAACTATGACTTTTCATTTAAACTGTGGTAGTCTTTGCTAGTTGTATCTGATTTTTCTTGGATCAGCAGTGTCTTGCCTGAATCTGACTTGGTCTTTTGATTATGTCTTCACAATCTGGTTGTCATTAGGCAATTCTCAGAGAAGGCAGGAACGTGAGTCGTAAAAGCTCTGAGAGATCTTGGAAATACTTGTTACTCATGTTTCAGCAATTCTCTGAAAGAATAAAAAACACTGGGGATTTTTTATTATTTCGACATAGTTTCTTGCTCAGGTGCCCTGGTGATGTAGTGTGTTACTTTTTGTACTGCTATCCAAGGCCATCAGTTCAAATCCACCAGCTGCCCCGCCTCTGCAGAAAGATGGGAAGTCAAGTTTGCAGCCTCAGAAAGGGGGAGAAGGGGCCCTGTGAGTCAGGATCAGCTCGATGACAGGGGGTTTAGGTCACTGGCTTACTGGTGAAATCGTCTCCTGTTTAGATTTTAACCTATAATTTTGAGTATCCAATAGACACTCTGGAGCTGGGTTTTGTGTTGTTTTTTTTTTTTCTTCTTAAATCATGTAAGTCATCAAAAGGATTTTCTTTTCGTTTCATATGACTGTCCATCTACATCTAAACTGCACTTTGTTGTCATTATTAGGTGCTGTCAGTCGTAGATGACTCATAGCCACCCTATGAGAGAAAGGCCTGAGCACTGTTCCTAGAGTTTCTGGAGGCAAGCCATGTCGGAAGTGGATGCCACTCCTGCTTCCAAGCTTCTTTTAATTGGGGAGCTCCACCAAACACTGTCCACCATGGGTCACCATTATCACATTTGACACATCATTGTAACAGTTTAGCATCACAGCAACCACGAGTTACCTCTGTACAGCAATGCACAGACAGTGCTATACAACCTAAAGAATGCTTGACAGAAAAACAATTTGAACCAGGACTGAGGGCCACAGATTAAAATCACTCACCTTGGGCTTGGTAGCATAATTTTCTGTCCACTAGGTCAACGTAGCTCTCTCTTTGTCGTCATTGTTACTGTTATTAGGTGCTGTAGAAAACTATTTCATGTTGTGTGCTGTTGTGTTGTTGTTGTGTACCATAGACTTGGAAGCGACCCATAGCAGACCCTTAAGCAGGTTTTTAGAGGCAATTAATTGTAACAGAGGAAATTGCCCATCCTTCTCCCATTTTATGTTTTAGGGAAAATATTTTTAAGTTTGTAGTGATACAGTTGATTTGAGCATCATCAGATTCAACATGAAGCTACTCTTTTTCTGAGGTTTTAAAATATTTAAAAGCATAAACAAGATCAAGTTCAGGCCTGCCTTCAGCCCTTAGCCTCCTGGGCCTGCTCTCTGCGATCAAGGTGACCAAGGTGGCCGTGCTCGCCAAGTTGGGTCTGTAGGGGAATGTCTTGCCTCAGGGAATGTACGTTTATACTGAGTGACCTTCTATCTCTAGGCAGCTGTGTAGAGCCACAAGGTTTTTGATAGCTTTCATTTCACCTTGAGGAATCTCTGGTGGTACAGGCGGTAGCATTTTCCTCTACTAACAAAAAAGGCTTCAAGTCTCAGGCGGTTCAAATCCACCAATGACTCCAAGGGAGAAATACAGGCAAAACTTTCCTGCTACAATTTAGTGTCAGAAACTCCATAGGTTCAGAATCAAAGCAACAGCAATAAGTCAGTCCTCCTCACCTATAAGGAATCCTGCCCAAGGGCATGAAGTGGTTGAACAGGTAAATTCACAATAGTTTATAGTCCATACTAGAATCCATGGAGTAATCCTGGGGGTGTGCGTGTGACAGGGGTAAATGGGAATGACACCTGGTCTATGTGCGTGGGGGACTGGCTGGGAGGGCAACTTGTGCTTAGGTCATTCAAAGTCCACCTTAGTTTTCCAGATATCAAGGCAGCGTGTAATACTGCACATTCATTTTCAGTTTTACCTTACAGCGCTTATTAGTGGTGAAGAGGACCATGAGCCTCTAATAACCCCTGAGATGGAAGAGTAGCGCCCCCTGGCCACGGGTTTCAGTGCCTCAAAACTCTAACTCATCCAGTGCAAACTGCGTAGGAGACCTGGGTTGGTTCTTTGGTTTTGCTTATTTTTTATTTTTTGTGTGTGTACTGTCAAATTTAATCTGACTGGTACAGGAGGAGATTGCCCCTCCTTCTCCAGCAGAGCATCTGGTGGATTCAAACCAAGTACCTCTGGGATTGCAGTGCAGCTTCTTGCCACCAGAGCTCCCTTGAGAATGGTTTTTAAAACCAAACCCTCTACAGTTCATTCCAGTTCATCCTGGTCTTCCATTGAGTCTTGAGGCTGTAATGAGGGAAGAACATTCACTTTCCTGCAGAGCAGCTGCTGGGTTTGAACCTCAAACAGCTGCCTTTTCAGTTAACTGCTCAGCATGTAATGGACTACGATACCAAAAGCCCTTTTGTAAAATGTTTTAGTGACATTTTATTTTAAAATCACCATGATCTGTTCTTTCTGTGACACCCCGCTCCCTGTTTGCCCCAGTTTAGGAAGGCTACCACCTCACAGAGGGTCTTCCCCTCCTGCACCGTCCCTCCACCCTCCCAAGCATGATGCCCCTCTCCAAGGACCTATCCCTCCTTACAACATGTCCAGAGTATGTCAGATGAAGCCCCAGAATCCTTGAAATAAGTGATGTTAAACAGAAGAATGGGAGCTGGGCCTGGGTTTTGATTTTAAAAAGAAAGAGAAACACTCTGCCGTGGCTGTATTCCTTGTAAAATTAGGCTATAAAATGGAGATGCTATATATGTCAAAGTATTTGATAGAAGATAAATCAATGGAAATGTTAGTTTTGTTTTAAATTCAGTTGAGGAAATCGCTGCCCTTGTTAGTGGTCTAGTTCGTCCTGACTCCTGGCTACCCCAGATGTGCAGGGCAGGAACTAGAGCTTCCATGTCTGTGACCTTTCAGAAAGGTCACCAGAAGATAGCCCATGAACAGATGTGAACCTTTCCTTAGCCTGCAGCACCTTTGTCTCTAGCTGCTGCAGTCACTGTGTCAGTCCATCCCATTGAAGATCTTCGTCTCTTGCACTGACCCTCTCCCTTTCCCCGTTGTTGTTGTTATGTGCCATCGAGTCGTTTGCGACTCATAGCGACCCTATGTACAACAGCCCTAAGCCCTGCTCTATCCTGTGCCAATCGCATTGCCTCTGACACACCCATCCCGATTACCCCAGTCACTGAATCAATCCACCTCATAGAGGGTCTTCCCCTCCTGCACCATCCCTCCACCCTCCCAAGCATGGTGTCATTCTCCAAGGACCTGTCCCTCCTTACAACATGTCCAGAGTATGTCAGATGAAGTCCCAGAATCCTTGCCTCCTAGAATCCTAGAGCCGCCCAGTTTAACCCTCTCCAAGATCAATCTGTTTGTTTTCTTAGCAGTCCATGGTACTCAATACTCTTCTCCAGCACCACAACTCAAAGGCATCAACTCTCCTATCCTCCCTAGTCATTGTCCGACTCTCTGATGCATAACAAGTGATGCACCTAGTCTCCAGAGAGACACTATTGCTCGTCAGTACTTTGGAGAGGTCCCTAACAGCAGACTTTCCCATCGCAATACATTTTTTTATTTCCTGGCTACTGGTGCCAAGAGTGTCATGGCTTTTCCCAAGGACTGGCCCCTTCTGACAACATGCCCAGAGGACATGAGATGAAGTTTCACTATCCTTGCCTCTCAGGAGGTACCCTGGTCACACTTCTACACTTGAACACTTCATTGTTCAAGAACTTTCTTGTGTATATGAATTAGTAATCTTTTGCTATTTGATAATCATTCTTTTCAGTGCCTCTATTTACCAAAACTCCTTACTTTACTAGTCAAGTTGTGTTAGCATCTTAGTCATCTTTTTATTTGCTTTGCATTTAGTCTCTTTGAATAGATACTTATTCCAAAGAGGAGGAAAAGAAAGTGAAGACTGGGGCAAGAAGCAGGAAAGGAAGAATTATGATAGAAAATGCAACTGAACTTAGTTTCCATTACATCTTCTGGAGAGTTCGCTAGCAAGCTTCATAAATACTTGCATCTACTTGGATCTGTTAAGACAGCAAACCCAAAGGAACTACAATATGAAGGAGATGAAATGACAAAACAAATCTGGTGTTGGGTTTTTCTATTGGTAGGAACAAATTTAGATAATCTTCAGCTTAAACCACCAAGAGTTAATGAGTCTCACACATGACAGGTTTTCAGATGTTTGCTGATGTGAGAAGAAAGTGAATGTTCATAAAGATGTTGATTCTTCACATCCCTCCTCCCCCACGAGAACATACAGTCCATGGCCTTCACGTGGTGGAATGTAAATCTTTTATTAAAACAGTTGTATTTCCACAGTAGTAAAGCTTTGGCACGTACAGTATAAAAAAATAATCACCAACCATAATTATTCCAAATTCCTCTTATCAACTGCATACTAAGTGTCTTCAATACAATTTTTTTCCATATAAAAATACTGGGAAAAATTGATAAATAACAGGTAAGAAAAAGATATTTCTAGGCAATTAATGGAATCATCTGAGGAGGGAAAAAAATGAGTACTGTGCATGATTTCAATATCACAGTAACCAGGACATGCCATTCCTACAGAATCGCGGGCCAGACAGTTAATTGAAAGCAGAAGTGTTTGGGTAACTTTCCCACTTAACATTTTGGTCCTATCATTTCACTACACTGCATCTTGGTGGACTGCCTGTGCTTCCCTATTGATCCAAACCAAATCACAAGTCAGAATCATTTCCTTTAGAATACTGAGTGGTATCAAATACTTTGGTGCAGAACAGTCAACTTCCTGCCCTTGTTGATGAGAAAAGTCTCAAAACACTTCCCAGGGTGACGCTTGGAGAAGCTGTTAGTTGAGCTGAAGCTGGAGAAGTGACTCCAGAGTGAAGAGCATAAGAAAGAAGCAAACACTCAAAGGTGGGGTCTGCCGACATCACTCCAGTTCGGGTGGATCATGGCCGAGACGCACGCTCGCATAGCGTGGGAAAGCTTATTCTCGGGAATCGTCTCTGTCAGCCTGTACGTCCAAGGGCATGAAGCACTCAATGGGGCAGTTGACGTTCTGTTAAAATGGAAGAAAAGATGGGGAAAAAAATGAGTGACAGGTCCTGTAAAGATGAAATGGGAGGCTTCTCCGGCAGTAGTGTATGCTGTTAGTTGGTGTTCAGTTGATGCTGACTCAGGGTGGGTCCCTGTGTGCAGACGAAACTGCTCTGGTGGCCAGAACCCACTATTGGCTCTGAGGGAGAATGATGGGCAATCTCCTGCGAAAAACCTGCCGGAGGATCAGAAGTGAGTTCCTTCTGACTCAGGGTCGTGACCCTTCAGATTGCCAGGCTCTTCCTCCGAGGTTCCCCCGGGTGGGTTCAAAGTGGCAACTTTTGGACTAGTAGTGGAGCCCTTCATGGCTTATAAAGGACCCTCCTGCCACAATTTATAGACAGGACACTTTTTTTCAAGCTCTAAGAACCTAGAAATAGATTGTAATAGATTCTCAAGGTTTTGACAAACTCGCCTACATTATATTATAGCTCATAAGTCATTGCCATAAAGTTGAACTGATTCATAGCTGACCTTCTAACAGGTTTCCAGAAGCTATAAATGGCCCAGAGGAGAATGTCCATGGAGTAGTTGGTGGATTTGAACCAACTTTAGTTGGCAGCACAACACCTACATACTAGGTCACCAAAGCTTCCAAATCATCTATGAGAAAATGTTCCACTGTAAAGTTATTATTTTGATTTAAAAAGGTTCCCTACAGGGAGAGGCCCCCAACCCTCTACAGATATATTTTATACACTATCATTATATAGATATATTATTGCACATTGCAAATATTATTTGCTGGATTGTTTGCTGTTTGTTGGTGTTTTGGTGGTTTTTTTTTTTAATCGATGGTTCATGGCAGCCCTGCACTGAGCAAATCTATTCTTATTGGTGAAATATCCCCCCTAGCACTTGCTCACGTGATGTTTGTGTTACATTTTGGTAATTCTAATAGTATTTTAAACTCTTTCCATAAGGCTATTGTACACCTAACAGACCACAGAATAACCCAATCTTTCATGTGCACTGATGAACAGAAAACACTGTGTTTACTGGTCTTACTGAGATATTCACTTTGTTGTGCTGGTCTGACCCAGACCCCACAGTGTCCCTGAGGTCTGTCTGCCTACGCCTTATGGAGCCTACAGGAGAGAGCTGGGATGCAATGCACTCACAGTGTTTGTTCCTGGATGGTATCTCTGAGAATACTGGTTGTAGGAGTGGCCAGTGGTGCCATCAGGGCGGCCTTCAGCCCCGGGTCTGCGACAGTTGTCACAGCGCCAGCCCTGCAAAAGCAGAAGCACAGAGTCAAACGCGGTTTATGATACACAGAGGACATCAAAATTTAGTGCTTGCATTAAAGAATTTCCGCTCTTAGGCAATTTCAAAAGTAAAAGCAGTTAATCACCAGGACAACTTTGATGATACTTTCATGCATTTACCACTCTTAGAATTTGTAACTGTCCATTCCTTTCTCCTGAAATGTCCTTCCTATCTTCCTCTTCAAAGCCACACTGAAATCACCCGATGAGCTTAAGGCTCAGCCCAGTCCCAACATACACATTCTACACCTGAAAGAAACCTGGAGTTTTCAAGAGACTTGAGATTCTCAGGGACAAAGACCTGGGACGCACAGGCAGAGAGACAGGCTCTGAGGAGTGACGAAGCCACCCGGTGAACCGTGGATGGAGAGGACTCCTCATCATGTCCTCTCTACCGCACTATGGTGACCCCCTTACCAGACTCCAAACTGGTAACCTGGTGTTAGCCTTGCAATTGGCCAGAGATGGGGTGTGGGGTGGGGGGAGCAGGACCAAGGTGGGCCAGTGAGATTTTTGCTAGAACACAAGTTCTATTCCATCCTGGCTCCTAAACGTAGAGCGAATGGAAGCCACGCATGCCACCACCAGTGGGAAGCCAGCTGGGGAATGAAGACAGTGTAAAGGAAAGACAGTATAAAGGAAAGCACATCGGGAAGCAAGGCTCCAGGTATGGATGCCAGCACCTCCTGGGGCTTGGCAGTGCTGTTCAGTGAGCTCTTAGTTTTTGGTACCTAATCTGTATTTCATAGGGTTGCTACAAGTCATACTCAATGGCACCTAACAACAACAATCTTTAACTGGCCTTTTCTCTCTTACCACTCAAAGACCCTCATGGAATACATTCACGTTTTTTCTTTGATAATCATGCAAATATTTTTGCCTTCTCCCTCCATTTAAGTGCAGATTTCCCATAATTCTTAACACAGTAGCAATGAAGATGTACTTACCAAATCAATCTTTTCATCCCAAACCTTAACGGATTTTCCTGCTGTGTTTCACTTATCACCTCACTTGAGGACTGAATAAGTGTCACTACAGGAAGGCTTCGTGTATATTAATGAGGAGACCGTGAAGTGCAACCCAAATGCACTGGGGGGGTGGGGTACACTATACATTTTATTACCACAGGGGACTGAGTTCTAGGATTTAGTGTATTAATGACAGACAAAGGGGACCCCACATCTTTTCCCTCAACAGAAAAGCATCACTGTTAAGATCTGCTCCCCATCTAACTATATCTAAGGGCAGAGTAAGACCCAGTATGTTTTCAAGAGCTTTCTTGATCTTTAGGTGGGAGCATTCAAAGACCCGTCTCCACCATTCTCCTTTCCTTCTTGGGGTACCTGCAATTGTCTAATACCAGACACACTGACCAGGGCATATCTCCCAGGGGTGGACATGTGCTCACCATGGGTCAGAATCTAGGGAGCTGTTGGGGAGGGCAAGTCTTTTTTGAAAGCAAAGGATTGCTAGTTTCCATTGCTTCTGAATGGCAGGAGTCATTTTCTTTTGAAATTTCAAGTTATTAGAAGGCACAGCCTTCTTTGTTTTGCTTTTATTTTAATGGAGGAAGACAGATTGGAAACGGTTCTTTTAAACATTGGCTTAAAAGAAGGGCTTCAGGGCTCAACTAATCCAATCCATTTCTTCTGCCATCTGATATCTCCCCACAGGACACTCATCGGAAAGTCTGGCTCACTGGCAAGGATGTCTTTATTCACCAGTAAACGTGGTACGCACTGGTTTGTACTGAGCAAGTCCCACATAGGCATAATTGTGTTTACTTGCTAATCCGTGGCGAGCAATCTCACTTGGGTTTGGCCTCACTCCTGACGTGGTGAGGGACAGGTGACACTGTGCACTGCAGGCTGATGGGAAAGCACAATTGGAACTGAGCACACCTCGCTTTTGGGAATCTGGCCTTGCTCACTAGCAGCAGTGGGATGTGACTCCCTTCCATGGAAGCACTTTTTTCCTTCCCATTTCATGCACTTGGCCACTCTGTCAGCCTCTTAGCTGCCTTGTTCTGATTCCTCTCCCCCCAGGCCAATCTCAGCTACCCTAAACCCTGGCAGCTTCTGCTTCTTTTTCCACATAAACTTCCTCACTGATTCTAGCCCGGTAGGGCCTGGGTTTGTCAGACACACTCTGAACCTCACTTAGTGTGCTTGAGGGTGCAATGTTTGCTAATTTAGTCTCTCCTGCTCTTCAAGAGCCAGTACTGTTTCTTATCCTTTCAGTTCATCTTGCAGGACTCTGCACCATGGTAGTCCAGTCACCATGAACTCGGTTCTGACATGCAGGCATTCTTGTGAGTGACACAGTAAAACTCTGCTCCACAGCTGAGTTTGTTAGAAGTACATCACCAGGCCTTTCTTTCGAGGTACCTTTGGATGGATCCAACCCTTCAACCTTCCAATCTACAGGCGAGTACATTATTAACTCAGGACTCTGATTATCCTGTATCAGGCCCCAGTTTTATAATCGAAAGAGGATGCAAAGCAGTGGTACTTTCACAGATCAATCCAAGATGCTACACAGAATAGTTCAGAGTCGGAGGCCTAGCACTGCAGAGTATTTACCACTTCAGTGGCTGAAGCAGTTGAGGCAGTGAGGGACCAGAAGAGCAGGGAGGGCTTCTCAGGAGGCGTCTCCACTGTGCACCAACAGGAAATGAGACGGTTCACCATTTACAAGAGGTGCCACCAGGGCTTGTGAATACAGCACACAAACCACTTGACTCTAATGAAGTCAGTGTCTACCGGCTCACAGGGAGCCCGGGCTTACCCGCTGGCCTCCGAAGCACGTGCAAGAGCAGATAGCCCCGAGGTATTCCTTCTGCCACTGTTCTCCGACGTGGTAGGTCTTCCCGTCATCGTAGCACGTGGCCTCATCTATATGCAGACACAAGTGAGGAGAATGAGACTGTAGACAACAGCGCTGACCTGACCACTCAACAGGGTGGACTGGGCTTCTGCCTTGAACTTGACCCATCCCAGCCCCCTCCCCCCAACACTGGTATGAATTATCTCCAGAAAAGCTATCACTTCTAAAGCCGAGGGCAGCATTTCCAAAAACTGCATTCGAGACACTGCAGTGGGTTCAATGGGGAGCTAGACCCATAATTTAAAAGCAGAATCTAAAGACCCATGAAACTTCCTTGTAATATTTCAGTGCAGATAATGGCTGGGAAGTGCTAAAGGGCCCATAATAACATTAAATCATGCCTCATTTTTGAAGCTTGTTCCCGCTTCTCCGAATCAAAAGATTAACAAACCCACTGTTCACTCCTCGAGGATTCCCTGTGGACTGAAAGCTATGGCCCTATCACAAGGGTGGGAGCATAAGGAGGCATTGAAAGGGATGCGTGATGACATACGGGGGTCGCACTTGAATTCGCCTTTCCCATTTCCGAGACACGTGCAGCTCATCATCTGGCCGTTCTCCCCCTGCCGGTCCCACTTCTCGCCAATCTTGTAGTTCACACCATTGTCATGGCACCATTCTGTGCGGTGGGGAAAGCGAGAGGCAGTTTATTTGTGTTGTTCACCCACAGGACTCAGTACCCGCCTTGTGACAGGAAGTCAGGAACCATGAATCCGAAAGGAGGGACAGGGCCATGAAAGATGGTGAGCCCTGTGTGTGAGTAACCGCTAGACTGGATTACATTCCCCCTCCCCCCGTTATCGTCTCCTAGAACATTTTAAGATCCAATTGACACCACCACCATCATCATCTCATATCACCCAAGGAGACCCAGTGATCTTCATCTGAATTCCTCTTGAGGTTTAAAACTGTGGAAGACTAAGGAGGAATGGAGTAGTCTCTTATTAGGAGATCAAGGATGAAAACCACGTTCTGGATTTGCAGAGAGCTTGGATATAATCAAGTTCAATGAACCAAGAGACAAAGACCAGCTGGCTTCTACCTGTGCCTCTGTCTCATGTAAATGAGAGAAGAAAACGGAGTAATAAAGCAAAACAAAAACCCAAAAACAAAGGATGAAGTTAATGGTTATCAATATTTTACAAATAAGTAAAAGACTGGCTGTGAAGATTATATTAGAAATGACAGTTATATCTCTTTAACCATTATATATAGTTAAGGTGACATTTTAAACTCCCAGGCTCATGCCTAAAAGAAAACATACTTTATAAGTTAGAACAAAAGATACTACTTTTTCCATTTTATCAACAATTCAACTGTTCCTTAAGCTTAAGACATGTATTAGGCAATTATGTCATCTGACCACAGAGTACGTAAGGTGAAACAACAGAATTACTGTAGGGAACCAGAGTTCCTCCCTACAGCTGCACCCAAGTCCTTGTATAGGTAAACCAGAAGCAAACTTAAAGTACTTAGGGTTTCAGGAATTAAAAAACTGCCTAGCTGAAGCTCAGTCTTAACATTTTCATCTTTTAAACAATATCCAACACTACCTCTTAACACTTAAACTTCAGACTGGGCTAAATTCTTCCATGTGAAAGAGTAAAGAATAAAGACTGAAAAATAATCTTAATAAATAAACCCATTATCTTTTCTTTCATCAGAATATGATTCCCAGTTATGTCTATAGGAGGTTTGCTTATAAAACCTAACAGTTAACATCAATGTTTTGATCTGTTATACTGACCAGAAATCAGAATCAACTCAAGGGTGTTAAACAACAAGAATAAAAATTTACCACTTATCAGTCTCCTAAAAATGAAGCATAAATGAAAGGTATAAAAAATTCTGATACAAAACCGCAAAACATAATAGACAATCACTGTGATCATTTTAAATTAGAAAACCTGCTCCTGATTTGGAAATAAAATGTTTTTCTTTTTTATTATTATTTTGTGTGTGTGTGTGTGTGTGTGTGTGTGTGTACCGTCAAATCGGATCTGACTGGTACAGGAGGAGACTGTCCCTGCTTTCCCGGCAGGTCAAATCGGATCTGACTGGTACAGGAGGAGACTGTCCCTGCTTTCCCGGCAGAGCATCTGGTGGATTTGAACCGTGCACCTCTGGGATTGCAGTGCAGCTTCTTGCCACTAGGCCACCAGAGCTTCCCTAGGAAATCAAATGTTTTTAATTTGAAGTTGATTGTTAATTATCTAGAAGCAGATGATGCACATCTTTGAGCACCCGTGGGTGCCTGCATGTGTGTACTTGTATGTAAACATGATGTGTATGTATGTGTGTATACATAATAATATGTCTATGTTTGGTTTGTATTGAGACAAACTGCAAGTAGTGAAAGTTTAACTTACACCTCATTCAACATTAGTGATTAAAAAGGCTTGCCATTTCTTTGTGTCTCTGAGATTCTTCATCAGAACTAGTGCATCCTAAAGGTTTGACCAGATCAATTTCTTCTAACAGAAAATATCAAAAGTGATGTTATACTACACACTTCTTTTCAATTAACAGCTGCATCAGCATCTGAATGAAGCAACAGTCCCCAAGTAAAATTTCCCATCATTTTTCTATGATGCAAAATGTTACTGTGAGTCGAACTGTAGCCACTGCTTGCTTCATGTTTGGAAGAGCCTGTGTGTCTGCCCAAACATGCTTCCTCGGCACATGAGGGCAAATGCAAGGAATTGGAAGAGGTGGATGATAAGTGGATGGGCAGAGCGAGCTACTCACTAGATGAGTCACATCGGAAATGACCACTGCCAAAGCCCAAGCACTGGCACGAGAGCTTAAAGCCAGATTCGGACAGCCGCTCCCACTCCTCTCCGACGGCGTAGCTGGTGACTGTGTAGGGGTCGAAGCACGAGTCATCTGTGGGCTGGTTCAGGCCTTCACTGACTAGATGAAGAAAAGCAGGAAAAAGTGGAAGAGTGAATCTCACTGACTGTTTTGTCCAAACAGAAGGCAACCGATTCATGGTATACAACTGCTTCATCTGAGCCAGAACAACCCAAAACATCGCAGTAACACTAGGAAGTTGTCATCTGCTGTATAAAGACATCAGCTGCTCTGAAAACAATGTTTAAACATAGCTGGGTGGAGCTTTGCCTGCAAGCAGCTTAAAAGAGAGTCCATCTTCCTTCTTAGCCATGAGTTCTTAAAAAAGAATTTCTATTCTTTATATTTCCTTTATATAATAAACTATATATAATTTACTTTATAGAGCATGGAGCAGGCCTCGAGGGAATTTGTACCTGCTATAAATTTTGGTGGGATACAAAGGCGGGCCTGTGGGTACCTGAGTGATTGTGGGTGGTTATTTCATTTTTCTGCCTCACTTTTCTCATCTGTAATATTGAGCTAATACTAATAGCTAATACTAACACCTGTGCCCTGTAGGGAGCTCAAAAAGATGAAAGGAGTTCATGAAGTCAAAACAATAGCCCTTGTTTCTAAAACAAAACAAAACAAACAAAAAACCAAAACAAACCCCTCCACACACACACAAAAAAAATCCCCTCACTGCCATCAAGTACAAACAGGTTTTCAGAGCTTGCCCAACTTTATCCTGTATAGCAGGCGGGGTGGATTTGAACTGCCTGCCTTATGGCTGACAGTGCATCCTCTCAGCAAATGGTCACTAAGACTCAGCAGTAGAAGTCTTCTTTAGATGATAAAGCAAACAGCTTTGTTAAAAACCATCATAAAATAGTCGATGCTCTTATTAAAACATCTAGTTTTGCATAACAGTGCAAAAAAATCCTAGATTGTGGCCATCATAATGGTAGGAATGCTTTATTTTATCAATAAAACCAGCCATTCCAAATAAGAGGAAGCATACAGCTCGGATAACTTAGAAGTAAGTAATGGAATCTCTTCCTATGAACTTCAGATCTCAGCTCTTTTTGTTTGGGGAAGGCATATTTTAAAACAATGTATGCAAACAAAGCATGACTCAAATTATCCTCTGAAAAATTAAATAAACCATCGTGCTGCGATTTGAAATCCCAGTCGGGTTGTGTGTATTTCATTTTTATGGTGCAAGAATCAAGAGCTCAAAGCAAGAGCTATTTGACTAATATTTTCAAAAAGCACCACCCTGGCAGAAAACAGAGTCTGAGGGAGGAAGTAGGAAGGGTGAGATGTTTCAGAGCCAGGGGAACCTGGAGAGAATACAAAACTCAGCGGCTGGGAACAGTGAACTGGAAAGTGGGGGGTGCTTAAACTGCTCCTAAGGTTTCAGTACTCTTACAATAAGCCAGGAGTGAAAATTTCACCCTGGCTAAAGTTAGAGATGAAATTCCAAAGTGGGGGGAAAGATGTGGAAAATCTCTGTGCTCTTGAAAATTTCTTTCATGTGCCATTTCTACTAGTAAGCCCACTAAAGGCAAAAGATTAAGCATTATACACTCATGCACAAAATAAACACCATGCATCCCGCCTTCATCCCCCACACCAAATAAATATTCATTTGCCCAAGTCATAGGAGTTTAGACTTGTAAAAGAGCAGCCAGTCCTCAGACCAGGAAGGAGACTGGAATTAAGTAACTGGCTGCAAGAATAAAGGCGTCTGTTGGCAGCATCAGACTCTTAACAGTCCCTGCTGACGTGGAATCGAAGAGTCTCCAGTTGGAAGGCCTGGTACTCGTGGTTTTGATTATTCCCTACTTTTGTTCCATGGTGAATCAGCAGCAGCTGTGGACGGAAAGGCCTGGTGACACGCTGCTTGTTTAAAAGGAAGTCTCAGGTGCTCGAAAGTGGAGTCGATGCTCCTTCAACCTCAACTAAGGCTTTAGAGTTACACAACTGGGCTCAGGGGATGCTGAAATGAACACTAAGACGGGGGAGCTCTCTGGACAGAAATGGGCCATGGGGGTTCATTTTATATCAGGAAGCAAGACCAGCTGTCTGTCTGTCATGGAGAATTTCATGTATTCAGTTAACTGGTCTTAGGTTCTTAAAGATGACTCTTGAGGACAGCAGTGTCTGAGACTGAAAGGGTCCAGTAATCAGTACCAGGAGAGCTGTCTTTTGTCAACTTAGATATTCCCTAGTCAGGACCCTTAGCACTGGATGAATTCATATTTGAGGTCCCTTCTAGTGGGAATAGGATGTGACTATTTAAGTTCTATTTCTCCAACCATTTTGAAAAGGTACCAGAAAAAAATAGTAGAATTTAAGGTTGCCTATTAACTTCATGCTCATGTACAGAATTCTCTCCCAAAGTTAGAAAGAAGAAGTGACAAAGGGACAGTGAGAAGCACAGCCATCTGTGCCTGGTCCGCAGGGCAGCCTGGACCTGAGAAACACAGATTATCACGTACCAGAATTGCCCACCGTAACAACCTCCTCGCGGACCTTGTGCCGCCTGTGGTCTTTCAGTGCCTCCACTATGATGTTGTAGGTGGCCCCTCTGGTGAGGCCTGTCAGGGTGGCACTGGCAGAAGTTCCAGGAACTCGGAACTGCAATTATTGGAATAGCCAAAGTGGAGGAGAGAGAGTTATTGGTACATCCAAGGTAGGGGGGAAAGCATCAGGAATATCAGACATGAGATCTCCTATTCCCAGGGTCCTTGACATGTCCTATTTGGTCTAGAAGAGATCTGGAATAAGGGTGTCAGCTGTCATCTACACCTGACAGATTTTCTGCCCAACACCCCCCGAGGTGCTCGGGAGTTACTGGGAGACCTCTTCTTCATCCTACCACAGGTAAGGAGCAGTGAAAGGCCACTGTACAAAGTTAAGTGTCTATGTCCCCTTCAGATTAAATGTCCACACTGTGCTAATGGGGAGATATGATCATGCTGTCTGTGAAGGGAACAGAAACCAACCCTTTGGCAAATTCTCAAACTCCTTTTTCTAAACCTTAAACCTCCCACAACGTCAATCAGGGTTTCAAAAGGCCTGCCATTTTCTAAAATCAGAACACGATTGAAAACGGCACTAGCAAGACAAATTGTAGATGAGAAGTTGTGGCTGGGAGAATCAATCACTTTTAACAGCCGATACAAGGAGCTTCACATACATTCTTATCCCTCAGCTAATACAGAACGAATTCTTCAAGGGCAAGCTGGGAGGATGGAGTTTGAGCTTTCTTCACACACGTCAATTCAGGCAGCATTTTTTTTTTTCGCCACCCCTTTTTTTCCATATTACTAAGGAGGCTCCGACGTGTTGAGAATACTAGAAATGACTTCATTTGTTATACTAAGCAAAACTTAATGACACTCTTTGGAGCATCCTCTAAAGTTTAATTGAGAATAAAACAAAAATGCAACCATCATCGAGTTGAGTCCAACTCAAAAGTGACCGTGTATTAGATTTTTGAGGCTGTAAATTTTTATGCGAAGACATTTCCTATCTTTCTCTTATGCAGGCACTGGTGGACTGTCAATCTTCGGGTTAGCAGACTGACATTCCATACACTATTCCACCAAGACATTTTATTGGCAATTAAATTTTAAAATAATCATGGCTGATGTATGCCGCCTGTCTAAAAGGACCAAGAAATCGCAGCTGCTCTTCCTTGCTACTCTGATCATGTTCGCTAACCAGACTACCCCTCTCTTCCCTGTCCTATCAGGGGTAGAGAGAAAAGGAATTACCTGTAAAGGTTCTTCGTCAATGCCAATTGGTTGACATGAAATGATATACTCAGAACTTTCCTGGAATGGCGTCCAAGAGATGGTTGTCTGAGAGAGAGCTTCTTGTCCTGTAGAAGCATTTGGATTGAGTCCCAGAATTTGAGGGTAGAGGTGATGGTCTACGTCTCCCCTGGGAACGTGGCCAATTTGGATCTCCTCATCTACCTTCGGCGGGTATGGTCTTGGCCTGTGCCTTACTGGCGTGGCCGTTGTAGGTGGTGTGGTCCGCCTAAAACCATGCTCCTCAAAGATCATCTGTTGCCCGACACTAGGCTGTTGGCCGGAAGTGCCAGGAAGCTGAATACCGTTTCCAGTGTTACTTTCAGGTTTGGTGATGAAAGGGGTCTTTTGAACTGTGGAGGGAACATCCAAGATCTCTGGTCCATGAAGATTGGGATGTGGAAGGGTTACCAGCTGGGGAAGCTCATCTAGCCAAAGAAGGTTAGAGCCAAAAAAAGCAAAGCGCATTAAGCTCACAGAAGTAGCAATATAAATCATTATCAGTTCACAAAATGACAATTATTATCAATTTGATCAAAGCCCCTGGCAAATTAGTAGTTCTCAAATCACAAAACACTTTGTTCCCCCCCAGAGAGAAATCATGATTTTTCTCAAAGGTTTATTCATAATTTAGAAAGAAAAAAGTGTTAGTAAGAATTTATCATGCAAGCTTTGAAGCGCTGAGCCCCAAAAAGCTGCCTCTGCTCAAACCAATGCAACAAAACGGAAATATGCAGCCTTTTGCTCCCCCCTCTTCTTTCCATTTGAGGAGCCAGTGCTATGAAGTAGAGCCTCAGCGAGCTCTCGTGGCCTAGTGGCAAGAAGCTGCACTGCAATCCCAGAGGAGAGCGGTTTGACTCCACCAGATGCTCTGCTGGAGAAGGAGGGGCAATCTCCTCCTGTACCAGTCAGATCCGATGGTACACATACAGAAAAAGAATAAAAATTTTTAAAAGAAGTAGAGTCTCAGATTAATATAACTGTCTGAAGTAAAAAATTTCAGAGTTTTGACACAAAAATTTTTCAGATTCAAAAGGTGAAAACAAGAGAAAAAAAATCTATATATATGTATGCTTACTTTTAAAATTTTCCTATTAGTGTAAATACAGCATTCTCTAAAAATCAGAAATTGGATTATTAATTAGTTCCAAATTTCAGAAACCAGATCATAGAGAAAAATGGGAAAAGATTTCTCTCCCTTTGTATTTATTTTTAGTTTAAATTTAATAGAATATAGAGATTAATTATAGCAACTTTTTTTGCTTTGGCTTTTTAGTTTAATATCTGGTTTGAATTTGTGTGTGTGTGTGTGTACCATTGAGTCAGATCCAACTGACACAGGAGGAGATTGCGCCTCCTTCTCCACCAAAGCCTCTGGTGGATTTGAATCATGGGCCTTTGGGATTACAGTGCAGTTTCTTGCCACTAGGCCACCAGAGCTCCCCTGGTTTGAATTTTTCAAAGGTGAGTAACAAGGCTTATATTTACTGGCGGTAGGAAAGGAAAACTAAATGCAAATTCTGCAGAATCTGTTATCAAAGAAGACAATATACATGTTAATGCTGTTAGGAAAAAAAGAAATTCAATGAGAAATGCATTAAAACACAGAGACGCTTTTCGATTATAAACTAGACAGTTTGAAGTTGCTCTTGTCTCGCTTTTCTTTTCTCCCTGCTAACTAGGAGAGAGGTGGTTTTTACCTGTCGTTTTCCTCCCAATCAGTGCCTCACTCTTGTGGTTGTTCTTCAGGGCAATGACATAGATGGTGTACTCTGTTCCCGGTTCCAGACCTGGTGGACAGAGAACCATTACACGTGTGCTTAGACACAGATTCCATTCACCAGGGGAAGTTGGGCGCTGAAGTCGAGGCTCTTGGGAAGCATCCTGCATAATGGCTAATGATCAAAAGAATCATCTTCCTTTCAAATTTGACACCTAGATAAATTCTTTTATGCTAATCTAACGTGTGGTTTTATTGGCCTTTTGAATTCATGAAAACGGTACTAGCACTGGACTTGCACTTGAAATACACGTATAATCTTTTCTGAAAAGTGAAATATCATAACTGAATAGTTCTTATTCTCTAATCCAAGCACTGTGTCCAATAGAAGTGGAGAGGATTATTTTGTCTGCGACAGTCAATAACAAAGGCAAAAGCATGTGACAATGTGACAATTCCGGTTGGATTACCATATCTAAAAAGCTAAAAGTGATAACAGGATCACAATAAGCTAGTTGTCTTTTCTAAGTCTGAACCAACAGTTCTATGTACAAAGGGGCAAGCTTATAACAAATTCCAATCTACCTACCTACCTAAGTCACCATGACAGGATTGAAATAATGGCATTTTCATGGGTGTATCCTTTCTGAGGTGCACTGAACCCAACACAGTTCCTAGATAAAGCATACTTTCGGAAATTCAAAGAAACAGGCTCTCTTGTTCACATTCTTTATGTGAAACTCATAGTTAGAGTCGCTGAAGACACAGTGTGTCCTAGGGAATGCAGAAGGAAATGAAAGCCTGGGTGCAGCCATTACCAGTAATAGTAGCTTCCGTGACACCGGGCCGTGGCCGAGGGACCACTTCTCTGGGGGGAGATCCAGCTTTCTCATACTTGATGATGTAGCCAGTGATCTTGGCACGAGGTGCCTGCCATGACACCAGCAGGGAGTTAGGTGTGGTGGCCAGGAAACGCAGGTTGGATGGTGCATCAATGGCTATGTAAAAACAAAACCAAGCAACAAAATTATATTTCTAAGGAAAAGGATAACCAAGAATGCTATTCTTATACTTTTAGGACAGACTTGAGGGGATCTAAGAGATGGCTTCCCAAGTGTGTCCTGAGTTCACATGACTGATCACGGATGTCACGTATTTTCTTCAGGAGAAAGCGCAATTACCTGTGGAGGCGTCGATGGTCACAGGTGAGCTCCGGGCATTGTCGTTCAAGGTGTACAGGTAGATCTTGTAGTCAGTGCCTGGCTGCAGACCTGAGATTGAAGAAGAGACGGTTTTTATCTGTTCTGGCTCAAGCAGGCCAACTTCCAAACTCATGTGCAATGGCAGGTCCCTCTACTGTTTTGTATTTATGGAGATTATGTAAGTGGCCCACATTTGACAATGCAGGATAGTCATGAGCTATTAATGAGAAACTGTCTCTAAAGAAAATCACTCAATGCAGATCAAGGCATTGACTGAAATCAATATGACAATGTAGAGCTATTTTGTAATAAGTTGCTCTCTTAGAGAATGTGGTGTGGGAAGAACCCTTATTGAGGGGGTTTTATTTTCAAGTAATAAAATACTCATGGGTTGGAACCTGAAGTCAGACTTTAAAGCTAAAAATCATCAACTGACCCTCAGGGTGGATGTTTTCTGACTACAGCTTTGATCATTATTAAGTGATGGTGTCTGTTCTTTCCAACTTAAATATACTAACAGTAAAAACTGCTTACTATTATTGGGTTTATTTTTATTTTAAAGACGAAGTTAATTTTTAAAAAACAACACAGAAAAAGGCACGATTGATCTGATTGATGGATAAATCTTATATCAATTTATCAGACAACGATTAGCTCAACTCAGGCACTCAAAGGACAAAATGTTATTTCTGAAGTGGCCCAGTCACTGAACGCTTAGCTGGTAACAGAAAAGTCAGTAGTTCTAATCCACTAGTTACTCTTCGAGAGAAAAAAGGAAGCAGGCTGCTTCTGTAAAGACCATAGCCTTGGAAATCTTATGGGTCAGGCCTGCTTTGTCCTAATCGGTCACCACGAGTTGGACTTGAACCAACAGCAATGTGTTTGCTTTGATTAAGTTTGGATCCCTGATGGAAAAGTGGGTAAGCGGTTGTTAAGAAAAAGGTTGGTAACTTAAGCCTACCGACTGCTGTATAGGAGACAGACGTAGCAGCCTTCTGTAAAAAACCATGACTTTGGAAACCCTATGGAGTTCTCGTTTTTCTTATATAATCACTACAAATTGGAATTATTCAACAGCAATGAGTCAGGGGTTTTTGGTATGGAATGGGAATATCTTCTTAAACACATAAATAGATAACCATAAAAATGATAAGTAAACGGAATCCGTTTAAGTGGTATAGTCATGAACGAACTAGTTTACACTAGTCGTAGTGGTTACCACGTGTCAGTGCAGTCAGTCTCCTGACCTGTGATGGTGTAGCTTCGGACATCGGGTCTGATGGTTCTCTGAATTGGGGCCTGGCCATTGGATGGGACAGCATCCACTTGGAAGCCAGTGATGGTCTCAGTCTTGGTTCTCCAGCTAATGGTGATGGTGGTCTCAGTTGCATCTGTCACACGGGCCCGTCTTGGAGGGCTGACATCTGCACAGGATCAGAGCAAGTGGGTTAGTGTCTACTTGGCCTGTGAAAGTGGGGTTTAGCATTTTACAGTGTTTCCTATTTAAACACCCAGTACATGCATGGTGGAAAATGCATGCCTAAAAACATGTAGATTTCCTCCTAGGACATCCAGAGACAAGATTGATGGGCATTAGAAAATAAGATATTCATCTATTATTTTTTTGTGTAATAAACAAAAGTTTCATAGACACTGTCAGTGATTCCCAGGCCTGGCTCCACAGGGTCTATTAAAGGCTCAGTAAGTATTAAAACAGATCAATTTATTCTAATGTAATAATACATATGGTACGGATGACAGTACAGTATGTAGTCTCTACAAATAATTCTGCATTGCCTTGCTAGTATTTTATTTTTATACATGGATTCATATTTCTTCTCTCCACAGATGAAATACCACCCTGTTTATTATATGAAGAAATACAGACACATGGCATGACTTCGGAGGATGAATACAGTGCATTACTAGTATGGCAGACAACTAGAACCTGGGCCTGATTTGGTCAGATATTTAGTATACTCTTAAAACATAGTAGAGAGCTGGGTGTCTCCACCAAATTTAATCTTGTGAAAATAAAGCATCTCTTGGGTGTTAGTCCTAGTTCCTAGCACCTACCACGTAACGTTACAAAGGAGTTCCTTTTTACATGCCAGCAGACCACTTTCTAGAAAGGCATAAATGGTGACAGTAGAGGGTCAGAATGATAGCTGGTCGAGTCGGTTTCCAGATGGGAATCATTCAACTCTTAATGAGCTGTTGTTGTTATGAGCCACCAAGTTGCCTGCCACTTATAGCGACCCCAGATACAGCAGCTCTGAAGCCTTCCCTGTCCTGAGCCAGTCTCACTGACTCCAACACACCTACCCTCATTGCCCCAGTTAAAAACAAGGAACACTTCACGAATCTGCGTGTCATCCTTGTGCAGGGGCTAGGCTAATGTTCGCTGTATTGTTCCAATTTTAGTATATGTGCTCTTGAAACGAGCACTCTTCATGAGCTGGAAAGTCATTCCTCATTTGCTAACTTCTGCTTATACCGAAGGGTATGGAATGGAAAAGTTTGATTACTTACTCTCTAGAGTAGTCACGACTCCCTGAGCTGGTCTGCTTGTCAGAGTGTCCTTAAGAGCATAGACACTTACTTCATATTTGGTGGCCACCTAGAAACAAAGGCACGGGAAACTTTAGCAAGGTAATATTCAGAGGAGTTTCCCCTAGAGCATTAGATCAAGACAGAGGTTATACAAGAGGAGGAAAATGAGAAAAACCTTTATCTCCACCAACACTTAGACTGACTGCACTCCTCTGCTGTTTAAATGAAGGAGCTGTGGTAGCTCTGGTGGTAACATGTCAGAATGCTAACCAAAAGGTCAGGGGATTGAACCCACTCACTGCTAAAAGATGGGCAATCTCATTGTATAAAGAGCTACAGCGTTGGAAATCCATCGGAGGGTCATCACGAGTCAGAATCAACTCACAGTATGTTACTATTTAAATTAAATGAATTTAAAACAATATATTCTCAAGGCTTAAGCCCAAAAGTAAGCATACATCCTTATATTAAGGTGAGGAAAATGACCTGACTGGTGTAACTTATGATGATGATGATGATTTTTTATCAAAGAAAATAAACGAGAACAACTTGTTGTCTCCTTGAGTCCTCTTTCTGTAGTTTCTCCCAGAATGAGCCTTATATTAAGAAGTACATCACTGTTATAAGTTTTTGTCTAATTTTCATCATGGATGTCTAGAGGACGAAATGTATTTCAACAAGGATAAGGTCAAGGCGGTTTTGTACATACTGCCTTGGAGAGGTAACAATGTTCAGAAAATGCCCAACCAAATTAGAAAGATGCCTTTAATCAATGGATATGTAAACTGAACCTCCCTCTTGCACAACTTTTGGGCTGAAAAAGCTGAAAGGATCTAAAAAGCTAGGCAAAACCCAAAACGGTTCATAAAATTCTGTCTCAGATGGCCACCTAGTAAAAGTGAAGTCTGCAGAAAGGAATTCTGCGTGATGTAAACGTCGTGTAGAATTATCCTGATGCTGAGGAGAACCCAACCACATCTACAATGGCATAATGGACAATGGAAGCTGTGAATCAGACCTCGCGGGGACCACCTTGTTCTTCCACGTCTCACAAGCCCTGAGAGACCACAGTGGGGTGTAGTTTCATTCCTCTTCCATAACACTTAGTAGAGGACAATATTTGCCTTTTCCTTGTTGGGTGGGTTTCTGAGAGATAATGGCTCCAGCTTTTGCATGCTTTGGTACCATCACCCACCTGTCAGTTTAGGTTCTTACATGCTTCTCTGATGCTGGAAGCTGTGGTGTTAGCATTGCAACCACCAGCAGAACGACCTGTTTCAGGAGAGCTTTGAGATTAAGGCTCAGTGGTCACCTTCCAAAAATAAGACAATGAAAACTCTTTGGGTCACACAAAATATTGAGCACTGGAAGATGAGTCTCTAGGCAGGAAACCAAATGCACAGTGGCCGTCACAGCAATGTACGCTAGAATGCACTGGGCAACATTCCATTCCGTTGTACTTAGGGTTGCCAAACACTGGAGCCAAGTCAATGGCAACAAACGATATACTGTGGGTGAGGATGATCTATTTCTTTATTCCAATGAAAGAAGGCCACATCTTACCATCAGTCCTGATACCACCACAGAGGTGCTGTCGGGAGAAAGGTTGATTTCTTTCATTGGTCCAGTCTTCTCCTTGGGGGTGACCCGCACTCGATAGCCAGTGAGCTGAACATTGGGGGCTACCCACTGGGCGGTCAGGGTTGTTGGTGTAATCTGAGTGAACCTCAAGTTGGTTGGTGCAGGAATGGCTGTTGGGATGGTCATTGATTAAAGGTTATCTTATAGGAAATGGGGACAAGGCAAAAACAAAGTGAACTCAATGCAGTAAAATAGAATAGCTGTGTTTGGGAAGATAGGTACCCTGCTTGATTAAGTATAGGAAAGTGCAAGAGACGTAAACTAGAGAAAATGTATTCAACATCCCTGGAAACATTTGGAGAAACAACAGGATTTAAGGTTTTAGAAATTTGGGGGGGAGGGTTGTTCTTTTATAAACAGAAAAGTCAGGCTGTTGGCCATTAAATTGGCTTTCCATTTGTATAGGAAAAGAAGAAGCCACTGCTTGCTTACTCTATCTTTGCACAGAAAACCACCGCAAAGTGTGCCATCCAAGAAAGAAAGAATGGTGTTTTTACCGTCTTTTTATTTGGACCCAGTGGCAGATATCACCACTAAATTTGAAGCATTCTCTGTGGTGCAGCCTAAGAAGAAAATCGGCTTACAACAGAAGCAGAGATGAGAAGCAAAGAGCAATAATACAGATTGTCACCTCTAGGGTTTATGTTGCCACTAAGAAACATCTTTAGTATTCTACGCTGCTTCAGAGACAAAGCAAAAGTGGATCAAACACTGGGGAAAGCGCTGGCCCTATCAATGGTTTCTGTGTGTCAGATTCATAATCCTTTAAGCAAATTATAGTCTCCACACATGAATCTAACTGAGGGGAAAGCATGTGCCCATGTGTCTTCAGAATCCTGCAGCTATGCAATGGCCCAATTGGGGTTCCTTTTTGAGAGTAAGAACTATGACGCCAAACATCTTTCCTTTCTAAACCGTGAAGGTAAAGCAAGAATAGCTTAGGGAGTAATCCACAATCTCAGTAGCCTCTCCAATGTCTTGTTTTACTGTTTTGTTTATAGGCTAACATTTCTTTCATTAGATCTATTCATATTAATATCACGTAAACTTTGTTAACCATCATTCTTGTCATTGAGAGACTCTGAGTTTTGAGTTTGAAACACGAATGTTAAGTATCATTCTTGTTAAAGAGAGTCTGTTCATAGAGAAGTTTATTTTACCCTCCTAGGTAGGAATCATAGAGCCCTGGTGGCTCAGCAGTTAGGAGCTTGACTGCTCAACAAAAAGTTCAATGCTTCAAACCCACCAGTCGCGCCTCGGGAGAACAACGTGGAAGTCTACTTCCTTCAAGGTCACAACCTTGAAAGCTTTATAGGGCAGCTCTCTACTGTCCTACAGGGCGGCTATGAGTTGGAATCCACTTGACAGCAATGGGTTTGTTTGGGTTTCAGATTACACGGGAATTTTATTTCACCCAGCAGCGCATAAAGCTGCCGCTCCCATGAGCACCCTGGTGGTGCAGTTAACGATATACCTGTGGACTGGATTCCAATCAGGGGCTGGCTCTCCATGCCATCGTGTAAGGCAACCACACTGACTGTGTACTCAGAACCCGGCCTGAGGCCTTGCAGCTCTGCCGTGTCCTCTTCACCATCAGGTGCAGGGAATAGCTCATGGATTCCATCCTCGGGGCTCGAGTAGGTCACCCTATACCTGGAAACTTGCCCCTGTGGGCTTTCCCAAGCAATTTTGATGGAATCGACATCCACATCAGTGAATGCCAGTCCTTTGGGACGATCAATGTCTGTTAGGCAAATTAATGGTAAGAGGTTATGTGAAAAGCAAGTTGTGAAAAAAGCATTTTTATCACATGCAAAGCAGTCTTGCAGATAATTTCTTTAATGAATTAAACCCCAATTAATCCACTATTAAATGCAAAATTACCAAATGCCTTCTTCATCTTTGTTGATTTAGAAAACATTCAATGTTGCATTACTCACTAAAGCACAAGTATATATGAGATGCACAGAAAAGCTCAAAAATCTCATAATGGAGGCTTATGTAAATTAATTTTAAGATCATTTATCAAAATTTATTTTTGCAATGTGATGTTAGTCCTATAGACCCAGATTTTCTAAACTTTGGAAGTGGTAAAGTTGATTTTCTTGTTATTTGTTTCTTCTATTGTTAAAAGATTCATGAGTCGCAGGCGACTCGACGGCACATAACAACAACAACAACATTGTTAAAAGCAGTCATAGCAGAACATACACCAACACAGCAACGTATACGGCGTAACTTGGGGACAATGACGACATTCTTTAAGTTGTGCAATCATTCTCCCTTTGCTTTTCCAAATTGTTCCTATTCTCCTAATGCACCTCACTGCTTCCTAGTCAGCCTTTCAAACTGCTGCTGTCCATTTCATTCCATATAGATAGTTCTTTAAAATAGCACCATGCTCAATGATGTTGTTTCATGCGGTAGAGTCGGAATGGACCCATAGCTAACCCTCTGGTGGGTTTTCAGAGGCAGTAATAGCATGGGAGGAGACTGCCCATCCTTCTCCCATGGAGCAGCTGGTGGCCTCAAACCACATGCTTTTGGGACTGCAGCTCAACTTCTTGCCACTAGGCCACCAGAGCTCCCTTTGCTCAACATAGATTTTTTTTATTTATTAAGATAAACTACTGTTTGGTTTAAAGAAGATTTGAGGGGATATATTCCATTTGACATTTAAAGATTAAGGCAGGGCAAAGTTTTAAATGTTCATCTGGTTTCAATGGATCCAGAAAATCTGGATTCCATGAGAATTTGAAAAATTCAATTCTACATTCTCCCCCTTGCCCCTCCCTTTTGAGCAGGATTATAGTATAAGTAAACTGGATTTTTAATACTAGATTCAAGTTGCTATAATCATCATTAAACTTTTCTCCACTCAGCCCTCCTCCCTTCAAGTAAGTTTCTGCATTAAGTACTGGTGCAGCCATAGTTCTCAGAGTGTTCCAAACAATAACACCTGCTTATCAACTTTACCATCCAGTCATAGAAAACAAGGTCTTAGCAAAATACTTTCGTAGATTTGCTGGAAGCAAACAAGATTTTGCTGAGGCCATTTGAGCAAAAGAACATCGAAAGCACAGCATAAACTAAGTGTGGCCTTTCCACAATTTCTTCCCTTTCAAATTAATTGGTTGGAACTGAGAAGGAAAAAGGCTTGTTAAGGGTTCCATTCAAGGTACAAACTTACACAACAGGCTGGCTTTCCCTACGTGTAATGGCAAAAGAAACACAGAGGGCATTCAGGCTCGTAGGGAAAAAAATCTGACTTTGAAAAGGGAAAATGAACTTTGGTTACGTACTGGTTACTGCTGTCTGCACCAGAGGCTCACTCTCTTCGTTTTGATTCTGAGCATATACACTGACCACATACTCCATCGTGGGCTGCAAGCCTTCGATGGTCATTTCAGTTTGATCTACAAAAGGAGTGAAGAGCAAATTCAGGACCAATGTAGCCATGATATACTTGACTGCATTATTCAAGTGACTTTAAAAAAGTCTGATGTTTATAAAAACCCCAAGATCTGGTAGCCTAGAATTTGCAGAATTATTACTAAAACAATGGAAGAGTTAGAGACGTTATTTCCTCTTAGACATGCATGTTTTAAATGAGCAGCACCTTTTCCAGATACTGCTTTTTGCAAGAACTTAAAGACAACTTTTGGGGGTATGGTAGCACAGATGTTGATAGCATTACATTCGTTCACAAGGAAGCTAATCTCAATAACAAATCACCAGACAGAAAGTCCCACTAAAGGATATGCTAAAAAATGTTCTATGCTGCCTTCAACAATTAAGTGACCCTGCCTGTGAAAATTAACTTGACTTTAGAGATATTCTTAAGGTTCTAATTATATCAAGAGAGTATATATAAAATAAGAATGATAGAACTAAAAGCATTGGCAGATGTCAGTCCCTCTTTTCCTTGGTGTTCAAGAGCAACAAATATACAACAGGAATTCAGTAAATGATGCAATCCAGGTCACTTAAGAGAGCCATGTGTCTACAAACAAGAAATATGCTTTTCCTAAAGCTTATGCTGTGAAGTGGATTGGATATAATCTTGACCCTTGTCACAAATGGGGAAACTTTAATGCACATGGTCTGAAACGTGTACAGTAGTCATGACAATGTGGCCATTTTATTCTCAAAAGCTTCTCATGGGCTCCTACTCCGTTTATCCCTTTGGATGTGAGGTGCTGACGGTCCTTACCTGGGCCTGTAGTTTTGGTTTTTGTTGGTCCTGGTCCATTCTTGGGAGTGGTGGTCACTCTGTAACCAGTAACAGGAGAACTGGAAGGCAGCCACCTGACACTAATGCTGTTGTCCTGAACATCAGTCACTTGCATCTGGGATGGTTTGTCTATTTCTACAAATAAAAGCAAGGATAAACCAGTGACGTCCCAGTGGTGTGAGTGAGGCTACTTTACTTGTGCACAGATCTGACTTATTTTTTGCTACTGATCACGTTTCCAGGTGTTTCTGTTTGAAAGAACTTAAAGGTGACTTGTGGGGATATAGAAACCCAGATCTATCATTACACTATTCACAAGAAAGTTACATTACAAGTAGGCATTTTTCTTCTTTACTATCTTAGCTTATTCATTCATTCAACAAATATGTACTGAGCATAAGTACCCTACATTTCTATCTCTTCTGCAGGTATTTGGGATGGAATTATCAATTAACAAAACAGAACAGACATAAGCCTTGACCCTCAGGTTAATTCCTTTTGTATCTGGCTAGAAAATGTGTTAGCAATAGTTATTCCTTTGCTTTATTAAAAAGAAAAAAAAAGAAAAAGAAAAGAAAATCAATTCCACCATGAAGAAAATATCAGGGGAGAACTGCCTGAATAACCCTGCATCACCTGAGAGCAGGGGTCTGTTGTACCTGTTCTGTAATCAATGGAAATTGGCTGGCTGCTTGCTGGGCTGTCCCCACGGCCAGTGACTGCATACATGGTGATGGTGTAATCAACTCCAGGCTTAAGGCCACTGATGGTGGCTGTAGACTTGCTCCCAGGCACAGTGAATTCTTGGGCAGGGCTGTTTCCACCTGTATGGAAAGGAGTTCGATCAGAATATGAGGGGTGCTGTTGATTTAAGTGAATTAATGTATTGAGAGCAGTTTGCTGGAAAGGAAACCCCCAACTTATTCTATAATATTATACTCAAATGACAACAAAAGCTTTACAAAAACCTTAAAAAAAAAAGCAGCTTGTAAGTCACCCCTCAATGCTCATTTTTCTCTTTTCAAGAGTGCTATTAATAGACCCTAAACAGAAAGGTGTATTAAAGCATGTGGTAAACTTTGGTAAGTGGGGAAAATTGCAGTTAATGCTACTTTAACATTTTAGCTTTAAAATGTCACTGAGGTTCAGTTTAACAGTAGAATGGGAAGAGAAATTAGCCCTCAAAGCTAGCATTGCATACTCTGTTGTTTTGTTTTGTTTTTTATAAAAAGGAACACTTTCACATTAAGATTTAGAAAAGTAAAAACAGGAGAATAGAAATCACTGATGACATCTTGGTGAAATGTATTAAAATTATTTCTCCCTCAAGTCTATCATCCCACCTAGGTGAACTATATTAGGAAAAACCAGGTGACAGGAGTCAATTCTGGGCTGTGGTCTCCCCGCACGTGTCAAAGCAGAGCGGTGCTCCACAGTGTTCCCATGATTCCTGGTGGTGTGTGCGTAGCACTTGGTGCTGTCAATCAGTGACCAGTCACAATGTGTTGGAACCAACTCAACTCCAGTGAGCAAGTAAGGGTCTACTTTTCAGAAGCAGACCACCCAGTTTTCTTGGGAGACCTCTCTGGGGGCTTGAACCACCAACCTTTCAGTTGCCAGCTGCAGCAGTTATTTGCACCACCCAGGGAGTCCTCGTCACATTATGTCAATAGCATTTCATCTCGATTTTCCCATTAAGTTCTTTGCCATTGAGTCACCTCATAGTGACCGTACAGTATAGAGAACTGTCCCAAAGGGTTTCTAGGGTCACAGATCTTGACAAGAGCAGGCTGCCACGTGTCCCCCACTGAGTGGTTGGAACAGTCACGGCTTAGTACTTCACCACTGTCCCACCAATCATGCCCCACCTGTTCTCAGAGAACACAGGGCTCTGTGGAGTGGGAATTGGCAGTTAGTTACATTTCCACTCTCAAACTCCCAGGTTACTAACCCACAAAGGAATCCGACCTGAATGGAGCATGAGCTGGCATTTGGGTCACTCACCTGATTCTCCATAGGTGATCCTGTAGTACCTCACTGTGACGGCAGGGGCGTCCCAGCTGATCAACACGCTGGTGGGAGTCGTGGCAAGGACTTCCAGGTCCCGCGGGACATCAGAAACTGTAAAAAACATGGGGGTGTTTTCATACCTGTAACTTCCCAGTAATTCACTCTCAGCTTGCTGGATGCTTGTCTGTATGACTTTTCCAAGCAATAATGTGACTACTCAACAAAATCAGCAGAATTAAAAATCACTGGGCCTCTCAAGGTGAGAGTGAAATGATGATTCCCAATTTAGAGAATATCTTTTCCCCCTCTCCTTTTTACTTTGAAGAATTCAGACCAACAAAAAAATTACAGAGTAGAACCAAGGATAAACTATCCTTCACTTAAGAGTGCCATGTGCCCCTCTCTCTCCTTGGTTCATCCATTGAGGTTAAAATACAGTGGTCATGCTGACATGCCACCCTGCTGGCCTGACCATACACCCCTAAGAATGACCTGGGTACTAACATTCACAGTGACACCTCTGAGAACTGGAATACAACAGGTCTGCCTGGCCGGAAGGTCTCAGGTTTTCGTCCTTTGACTCTGCTTTTAGTGAAAAATATTTGCATTTTCCTTTTCTGACAGGTTATTGCCTTACCTCAATTCTGGTTTTCACAGGATTCACTGTATGGCATTTTATGAAAAAAATACTAACCATCAAATTTTCTATTTTTAGAACAAAAGCTTAGAGTCGTGGTTAGGTGCCCTCAGGTAGACTATGACTCACAGTGACCCTATGAACCTGTTCCATCTTTATGATCTCTACCATGGTCAAGTTCATTGTTGCAGTCACTTCATTAATATGACATAGAAAGACCTAAATCATTGTTGGAGTCACTTCATCAATATGATGACATAGAAAGACCTAAATACCCAACTTAAGTGAGAAACTTCTTGTGATACAGAAACTCAGCTCTTCAGCATATTCTGAGAGATTCGCCCTTCCATCCTCTTGCTTCCTTTCCCAAGTTTCAGATCTATAATCCAAGATATGTTAACTTGACCACAAAAAGGTGTCATAAATAATACAACTGAATTCTTCGACTTGTCTTGAGGATTAGAAAACAAGTTACCTGTTGATTGCTGGCCAACCAAGTAGGGGCTTTCCTCTCTGCCATTGAGGGCGACGATGCTGACCACATACTCTGTACCCGGGTTGAGGTTGGTGAGGGTAATGGAATTCCGAGAGGGTGGCACGCGGTCTTCCCGAGGTCGCCCTCTGGCGTTCTCAGGATGATGGAGGATCTTGTAACCAGTGATGGTGGCGCGAGGAGCCATCCAGTGCACAGTGAATGAGTTGGCCATGATGTCCGAGAAGTCGATGCCAGTGGGAGAATCCAGACCTGGTTTTTTTTCCCCATGGAGAAGAGGAAGAGACAGAGAAAAAACAAAAGACAAAAAAGACACCATCAGTTTAGGAAATGAGAAAGAGTCAATGGGAGGGAGCTTGGCATACACACAATGATACAATATTTCGGTCTGGTTGTGGTTGTTTTGTGGGTTGGGGTTTTTTTTGTTTGTTTGTTTTTTATAGTCATTTGTCATACACATCTGGTTATGAAGCGTTTGAGACACATAAATATTTCAAAACCATAAACAGCTTAAATAGCCAACTCAAGCATTCTTTGTGTTTTCTTTTACTAAGTATAGAAATCCAAATAATTTATATGGTCATTATAGTATGCTTCTTCTGAAATATAGCTGAAGTTAGGTATTTGAGATTGTCTGAGACTGTAGAATTTAAAATGCTTATGTGTTACAGTATTCTACATTTCTTATGTTTCCCAATAAAAGGCAAGACCTGCCACAAGCCAGCATTCTTTGGCACATAGCCAGCTTTTTGTGCCCTGAAGGTGCCGATTTGTCAACAGAGGTTTAAAACTAAATAAGACCTGATTCTGTACGAATGGCAATGCAGGTAATTCCTTGAGAAGTAAGACTTTATCACATTAAAAAAAAGTCAGAGGGAAACAAACAACAACAATAAAAAAAATTTTAAAAAATCAGAGTTAATTTTTATATCAAATCACTTAATTTCTTTGGAATTTCTAGCTAATGTCCCTGATGGTTTTAATGGTCACTTATCCTAACCAGTAATATGGTCAAAGGGGAGCTGATGGCAGCACTGTCCTTAGAAAGAATTGCTTCTGACACAGAGGTCAGACCTCTTGCACTGTTCAATTCACCAGCTGCTGCAATCTCCTCCCACTGAATTTACAGACTCGGTAACCCCCTGGGGGGAAGGCTCTTATTCAGTTCCAAACAGACAGTAATGACAAGAGAATCTGCTCAAAACAACTGCAGACAGTTGTCATAACTCCCCTTTGAAAGCAGGTGGACTGCAAACAGATCAATGAGGGCATTAAACTGCACTTTTCTCAAAGGGAGGAAGGAACATTCCTATCAACGAAAGATGTAATACTTAGGAATTCAATCCAAATCCCTTGGTATAGAAAATGAATGTATGATACCAAGTGGAAAAAAAAAAGAGATAAATTAAGTATTGAGCAAAGTAGGAAAAATACTTTGAAGACAATGAGCACTGAGTCATCCATTAAATATAATCACCTGAAGAGAGGGCAAGTCTATCCTCCCATAAATAAGAGAACACACCCACTCTTCTCCAAAAGGCTAGGTGACAATATTTCAGGACTCGTATAGATCATCTCTGGAAGCGAATGAGTACACACCCTCTCAACAGTTGAGTATAAAGTCTCTAGTATATTTTTGACAAGGGATCCATAATGCCGTTGCCACAAAATACAAAGATGTGTGGTTTTTCTAAGACAGGGCATTTCACTCTGCTATTTAAAATTGGTCAGCAAAAGAGGCTTGATCCTCATATGGTGACCTGACTCACCCGTCTTCTGTCTTCCTTTAAGCGGCGTGCTCTCGTGCTGTTCGTAGACACTAGAGACGCTCACTAAGTACTCCGTTCCCGGCAGCAGATCTGGAGACGCAAGCGGAACATAGGTTAACCTTACATATGGAAGCATGAACGACCAAGCACTCCCGGGACCATTTCTACTGATGAAGTATGCGGGCGCCCGGTCCCATTACCCACTTAGATCTAAGTGGATGTGTGCACCTCCAGATGGTCTGTAATTAGAAGGTAATAAAGAAGGGTCGCCTTGCCCTCCAGCATCTCAAAGCCCTGTCATCCATCGGTCCCACCTCCGCGATTGTGACTCAGGCCACACGCCACGAAAAGGCAGCTGGCTGGCCTGATTTGCAATTTAGGAAAGAAAAAAAAAGAATAGCTACAGTATTAACAGTAATATTTCTGCCATCCACTGAATGTCATTTAAGGATGCCTAAGCATCAGAGAGTTGGACAATGACCAGGGAGGATAGAAGGAGAATTGATACCTTTGAGATGTGGTGCTGGAGAAGAGTATTGAGAATACCATGGACTGTTAGGAAAACAAACAGATTTGTCCTGGAAAGGGTTAAACCGGGTGGCTCCTTGGAGGCAAG